CATAGTTTTGATAGGTGATTTTTAGACGCCAAATTCAAATATAATTCCTGAAATTCGGAGCTAAATGGGGAAGATATTTCTGTTTTATCGTGCATACATCCTCAGTACTTCATACAAACTGCCAACATTTATTTGTCTTCCAGTAGTAATTTTTAATATCACTGAAGAAAACGAAGAAAGATGAACATCGGTTATGACCAAGGAGCCACGCTAATGCTAAATTCAATTAGCTGTCCGTATGGTTGGGAATCCTCAAAGTTTCCGACCGGTAAAGCCTTCTTGAAGAGCAACAGGGACCTTGATTTTCTTGAATAAGTTTCATTTGCAAGGAATTTCATTGTAGAACGGTAGACAAAGGTCCGCTCGATTCAGCCGTGAAGAGAGGACGCTTGAACTCGCGCTGCAGTGTCACGAATAAGAGTTTGACCCGATGTGGATATGCGTCGGCGGGTGACGGACATTGCATCCGAATCCCTTCTGTCGCAGGAATGCATGCGAATGACAGCGAGAATCTCCCGTAATCACCTTCTTGAAATTCAACATTCACCTTCACGCTGTCAGCATTGTCATGCGGCGCGTCCCGGCGAGTAGCTACTTTCAGAGTCCGCGAGCTGCACGCGCGTGTCGGCTGGCGGCGGCGCTAGCCACTTGGTGACAACATTGGCACGTGACCCATTCATGCCCAGTGTTTTCTACAAATGGTTAGCGCTTCCGCCGGCCAGCGGACTCTGAAAGCAGCCAGTGCAGCACGCCGATCGTATTCCAAGTGGATCCATACACTCTACGTCGCTATATGCCGCCGAACGACTAAACCACGTCGTTCCAGTCGAGCATTCGTTCCAGGACCCTCACCTTCGGCTGAGTATGAAAACAAGTTTTTAGAGACTATATATCAGCAAGACTAGGTTTGCGAACCACCTTTTAGGCAAATTATGGTCATTAGTCAAGGGAAGTTACAAAACATTGAATTTGTGCCCATATTCGGTAGCACGATGATTCTGGGCACGTCACAGAAGCTGTTCTTGGATATGAGAATGCACATTCGACGTACCTCTGAATGTTCAACAGCTCTGTCAGATGTTTGAATGAAAGTGAACCTAACTAGCAGGGATACTTGAGTGAACATTGAACGTAAACACGTAAACACTCTGAAGTGATCGTAAACATTATTCCAATACTATTTTTTCGACCTTCTGTACTTTGCTCCTCTACCAACGAGTCCCTCCCAATCACTGAGGAGTAGTTAGAGAAGAGACATAAAAGATGGGGTTAGCCGGAAAGAGAGTCTTCTTCCTTGTAGACTTCTTGTTCGGGCCTAACCAAAATTAGTACGGCACACCACAAACAATACAAGTTTATTTATATAAATAAGCATATTTAACATCAACATGATTTAGTATCTCTGAGCTATTCGAGCTGAAGCTAACTACATGGAACTGATTGTTGTAAGAGCCCGAGTAGATGGTAAGCTACCAATCCGTCGTCCTCTCACGGAATGGCTGAACTTCGAGGAGATAAATGTCCTCACAGAATAACATTAGTATAAACATCGGCGTAGGTCGGGAGTTCTTCATCCCAACACCGTTCGGGAGCTCATTCAGCAGATTTGGTAAACAGGTATGAGATCAGGATAGCAAACGCATACGATAGTACCCATCCCGATCTAAACGGCCACATCGCCTATGTACATATCTTTCGTTTGTCAATGCAATTAGCCATAAAGAGCTATGTATATAGTAAACATCCAGAACAGTATCATTCACTCTCATCTTCATCGTCATCGGGAGTACTGCGGTTGGAACCGACTCCTGGCATAAAATAGCCGTTTTTCCTGGTGAACTTTGAATATGCACTGGCTATTCGATTGAACAACTCTTCCATTTCGCCTTCAGTCATACCTGGAATATGGGAACGTCATCGACTCTTCCCACTCTTTTTGCTAAACTAAAAAATCACCCACCTACTCCGCATGCTACATTCAGATATCCACCATGTTGTTCATTCGAATGAGAACCAAAGTTTAGAAACTCACAACCTTCGATGATGGTCACTTCATTCGTAGAAACGACGGCACTGAAAAATAGGGGTTACTGCCTGATAAAGCCTATTCCATCTACGCCATACTAAGCGTTTTGCTCGGAATATTTGCTGTTCAGAGGCATTTCCGACCGATAAGGATAACTAGTAAGAAGTAGCATACATATTACATCGTGAATCATCAGTATTTTTAAAATAACTTTAAAAAACAATAACAACAGCGTTTTAAGGAATAAGCTTGGCATCAGGAAGAAAATAGCCTATGAAGTTTATGTTCTAGACGAATTCGCAGGAATTTTTCTCTCTCTTGGTTGCATGCATCGATTTGAGCCATTTTACCTTTGCACCAAAACTGGAATTCAGAGTCAAACTCAATCCTTTCTTGGTAAAAAGCACCTAAACTGCAGCTGACTGATGTAGTCAAGCCCACTTGCTGCTCTTCTGACAACAAAGCTACTGACGTCAGATAAAATGCTAAACGCAACATAAGTAAAACTTGAACGAAAGAAAATGATGAAACAATATAGGAGCTTTCATGCCTTGTCGAAAGGAAAAACAAATATCTAAAGCTTTTTTAAAAACCATCTGGTTCGTGAAACTGGTAATTTTTAGAAAACAAAAAAGTTTAAACTCAATAGAAAATAGGTCCGGCCGATTCCATTCTTCCCGCTCTGTTCTACCCTACGAAGTTGAGATGGTTGCACAACGACCTCAGGACTTAGACTCACCGTGCTCCAGTGATTCCTCGGTTGAAAAGGACGGAGCCGAAAAGCGACTGTTTTTCTCTCGGTATCGATGAAAGAGTCAAGGCTGAAACGCATCATGAAGAGGTTATTTTTAATATTTAATTTTGACAATGAGTAGCGAGACGTTGTATAAGTATCAGCTTGTAGGTACCAAACATAACGAGATCTGCGGTGTTTCACTGGTCTATTAACAACGAAAGGTGTTTTCACCCCACATAGTTGTCCCGCTGTCCACTATGTCTCGCTTAATCAGCCATTTCATCGCAGCTTCAACCGTACCCGGCATACCCGGCGAGGCTAAGCATTTTCCACCTCTCTTAGAGGCTAGCCCGACTAACTAGGCCTTCTATTTCCCTTGGGTGAAATGAGATTTCTCAACGCCGAAGGTTCTATCCCACACCCGATCTAGGCAAAACTCAAAGTCGACGAAATGCCTCATTTGGGGATTCTGATTCCCGAAAAGCAGACATACATCACGCTCGAAACTGCTGCACCCATTCAACCCCTAAACGAGCTCGGCCATTGTTTTCATTTCCGGTATTGGCTTGTTTTCTGTTTTCCGATGACAACAATACAGCGTTGTCAGGGCAGTTTCCTGTGGAATTCTTGATTCCTTCTGTCTGTTTCGGATTTCCCTTCTGAGCGGCTATTGTCCCACATTCTTTAAAATACCTGAACTGGGAGTTATGAAATTTCAATTACAAAATAA